CACTCATACACAACAGCACTAACCAGCACACTACAGTTCCCCTCGCTCTATTCTCATGCTCAGTTTGAGCTTCAGATCATCCTGACTATAAATTACTCACACCTCCATGCAGTCACTTTTGTACACAACATATTTGCACACGTCCTTTACATTTGTAACTATATTTATGTTAGTATTTCTCCATCATCTCTGTTTCTGCACTCATTTTATGAAAGTGCTTGTTGAGTTGTTATAGCAGCAAACTTCCCTCTGGGATCAATAAAGTTCCTCAGATTCTGATCGATGCCCGAGTTACTGCCATGTGATTGGCCCACATACTTGCCTTACCAAGCAGCTGAACGGGTCAGTCAGTGAGTAAATGTAGGGACAGCAGGGTACTTACTTGCCATCATCAGGAAAAATGTGCTCCGGAGAAACAGGTAGAAATGCATTTACTGTGCTGGACATGCGAGCAGAGCACAGTGAACATTCAGAGCAGGACAGACATCTCTCAGTCAGTAATAATCTTTATTCCTTTTCCTCAGGACAGAACTGATTTAGCACCTAACCAAGGTATGAGGCAAGCAAGCCAATACAATCCCCATTACACAAGAAAACTAATTTAAAAGCCAGAACAGTCGGCAGTGTCAACGTAGCCACTTTTTCCACAAATCAAAACTTGTCTTTTTACATCTATAGATTACACAAATACTTATTATATATGCAAATGAATAGACAAAACTACATACCTGGGCTTACAATGTCACTACTAACAAAGGTATATCAACACTGAAATATTCTTCATAGTCTGCTGCATCCCATAGGTCTTCATCTGAAGTGTAGATTAGCATTGAAACGTAACAAGACCACAGCATCAAACAGCACTTGCATTAAGCACAGGGATACAGGAACTTTGACATATCTGTTGGCCAAATAAAAGGTTCACAATAACAACAAAAACACAGACCAGCTCTGAATGCAACTGTACAGATGAATGAAGGCATTGATATTTCTCCTCACGCTTCCTTCTGACCCACATTACAGTTCAGTCCGGCTCCACTTTAAACACACAGGTGGGGAGCAGTGACACAAGCTCTGCTGTATTCATTCTTGTAAGAAGCACGTCAGGTAAAAACGTCCATCTAGCACAGAGTCCTCAGCCCTCACGGTAAGAAATCTACAACTAATAACAATACACGTGTGTGTCATACAAAGTCAGGCTGTAGTTAGGCTGGTACACCTGGAGCTTAAAAACAAAGAAGCCAGTACACAGGAGACGAGCATACGACATTTTAGTACAGCTGGTATGTAGATTCAATTCATAACGCAAGCTTAGAAACTGTCGTAATCTTTCTTGTCTTTTTTGCCTTCGCCCTCGAAGCTGTCTGTGCCATCGCTGTTGTCACGACGACGCTTCCGGCTGTTGCGGATGCTGAAGCGAGGGTTCATCTGCGGTAGAGGGTCCATTCCCAAAACTTTATGAATCTGACGGAACGCCAGCAGCCTAAGAGCAAACTAAACACACAAAGTTGGAGAACATGTGAGTCAAAGAGCAGAAGCAAACCTTTCAACAGTCTCGGAGGTGCACGTTTGGGGGGTTTATTTACTCTTT